GAGATTATGAGCATTCGTAGTCCCACCCACACTCTAATTTAGGAAAAAGTGGCTCTTGTATCAAAACCCACTTACAGATCGATATTCTCCATATATCGAAGTGCGTATATCTCGCTGAGGTCTATATTATTTCTCCTCAAATTTTCAGTGATGCCAGTTCAGCATATGACACTATTTTTGTGAAAGTTTGATCTTGCGACAATGCTTTATTTCACAGATTTCAGCAATTAACTTCATCGAATGTTCATACAAAAAGCTAAAATTTCGAAGACAAAAAAAATTAAATCTTAACTTTTTATGTCTTGTCAAGTTATTTTAGGAAAATTGACAATAAGTCTAAATTGAGGAGAGTTTTATGCGCATATATTTTATATACTATTTGAGCTCAAGATAAGTGGACTTTCGATGGAAATAGAAGAATATGACGATCGTTGTTCAGAGTCTGTAGTATTTCCTTAACAAGTCTCACCTCAAAGGCTCTATTCAGCTGAAAATTTTACTCTATGTATATCTTACCGAGTCCTACGAAAAGTCCCAATTTTATCTCATTCGAAGAATCTTCTTCAAACCGGCGGTATCTTTTTGCTATTCTAACAGCACTCAGTGTTTGCATTGCATTTTCATTTTTTGCTCTGTGATACAGAGAGAGACAGGTAAGACCTGACCTTATCTTTTACGCACGTGCTGTTGCAAATTTTCTTTGAGCAGAGTGTGAAAAATAATTATTTGGACACTAGTCACTTTGACAATGTAGAAAGGATATCTTCTCAACTTTGATTACATTCTTCGACAGATCGAAGTTGCCTTTGTATTTTATGAAAAAAGCAAAACTGTTGACCGAATCTGTTATAGGTTCCTACAAGAAAGTAATTCTGTATATAACTAGCAATTGTTGTTTGACTTTTTTTGACAATCTTTGAAATGAGCCAGATTGTCAGATTCAGTTCTTTCATCTTTATCGGATGATGTGTTAGGAGTTGAATATGTGTTTCGTAGTAGCTCATAAACCGAAGATCTGTGCAACGACTACTGAGCTCGCCGAATTTTTCTGTGTTAAATGCTTTGCCTACATGTTTCGTTTTTAAATAATACCTTCTTGTAGAAACCTCTTCTCTCTAGCGGATCTGACATGACTCGAAATATTTTGATGTAAAATTCGCTTTACTGTATAGTAGTTGCAAGTGTCCACATACATTGATATTTTATATATTTTCTACAAAACTTACGTCGTTCTTTATTTCTATATGGCTGAATACAGCTTTCATTCCGTAGTTTAAGTCAATAGTTTTGTATAGCTCCAAGTTTGATGGATCGTTTTAGTATAAAACTATTTTCGCGATAATGAATTTCATCTTGAAGATGTAGGAGCATGAAAAAACTTTTGTTTTTTAGCTTGTTTTAGATATCTGTTAATTTTTCCACCACCATACGAAATAAATCAAACAAAAACTATATTGTTCGATAAAGCCATCAATGCTCTATTCAACTATATCTAAATAAAAAACTTATGAGGTTTTGCGAGAGTACAGCTAACTCCAGAAAACTGACAAAAGTAACGTAGTCAAGCTGTATGCTGTGAAACAGTACATCCGAACATGATATTAAAAATCACCTGCGAAAAACAACTTCACCGAGAGTAGATCAGATAGGGAAATATCTTGTTCGGCATATTTCCATACGTAATGAGATTCTCGTAGTCAAACCTCTCTTGTTCAACAAAAGCCTCTTTTCGAGTGGGACGTCACAGTTAAGTTACGTTGTATCAGTATATTAGAAAACAGATGGACTCATTCTAAACATCCGATCTTCTTCTATGTTCTTTTGAAGAAAGTTTCGAAATGGATGCCGCTTTTTTCTATTTATAGCTACCAACATATTCCATGAGTAGTATCAACGGGAGCATACGCGCAGGTAATGACTGCATGGCTTCAAAATCATCGTCGAATGTACACATTCTGCCATTTCCCATTCATGGTTCAACAATTGAATGCCACGGTGACGATGGTATTGAAACTACTGGGGACATCGCGGCTCCTCTTCATGTATCAACGGCATTTGTTTCCGGCGCATCAGAATCATCTGGTCAAGTGTACAGTAGATTACAAACTGTTACAAGGGCAAGAGTCGAAGCAGTGCTTGGAGCAGTGGAAGGTGGCCAAGCAATAACATATTCGAGTGGACTTAGTGCAGCCACGGCACTCATCCATTGCATCAAGCCAAGAAGTATGTACGTAGATGCAGGCTATCATGGTGTAAGGGCTGCTTTCAAACTGTGGAGTGAACGTGCAAGTGTTGGCAATGGAAAAATTGAATTTCTTACTCTTGAACAATGTAAAAAATTGTATGAACAAAGAGAAAGTCAGCCTCGTGCAGGTTGTTCACTTTGGCGTCCGGCAGATAAGGATGAAGAGCGTGCTCTCGACTTGATTTGGATTGAGAGCCCATACAATCCTTATGCGACGGTGGCTGATCTTGAATGGTTTGCTGAACTAGCCTCTCGAACTGGCGCTTGTTTTGCAGTGGATAGTACTCTGTCGTCTCCACTTGGTCAACGTCCTTTAGAACACGGAGCTCATGTTGTCATGCACGCATCGACCAAATATCTCTCAGGGCACAGCGATTTACTTGGTGGTGTTCTCATAGTTCACTCTTCATTGTCTGACAGACTTGGATGCAAACTTCTTGCAGAACGCAATATTGATGGTGCTGTCATGGGTAATCTAGAAACATGGCTTCTACTAAGATCGATGAGAACTCTTTCTCTTCGTGTTCGACGACAATGTCAGACAGCTTCAATTGTAGTTCGATGGCTGGAAAAACAACGGACGGATGGTCACAAAGTGAAGAAAGTGCATCATCCAAGTTTAGAGTCCCATCCAAGTTATTCTCTTGCTGCTCGGTATCTTCGTCTTCCGCCAGCTACATTTAGCTTCGAGCTTGAGTCCGAATCTCAAGCCAAATCCTTTGCTCAATCGTTGGTTCTCTGTACTCCAGCGACCAGTTTGGGCGGCGTCGAAACATTGGTCGATTGGCGTTACATGCATGATACCAGTGTCAGTCCTGCTCTCTTGAGAGTCTCCATTGGCCTTGAAGAGCCAGAAGATATCATTCAAGATTTTGAACAAGCATTGAACCAAGCAATATGATGGACTGTTTACTGATGTTTTTTTTCATTTGTTTATCCTTATTCTGCAACTTACTGATTCTTTCACTAGTCGACTTCTCCCTATTTAATAAGTCTATGTTTTACGCTCAAAAACTACAATTGGTTCTTGTTCTTTTGATTATATTTTGACAACAATTACAAACATAATCATTTAATATGACGAACATAATAATATCAGAGATGTACCTCATATCAAAATTCAACGGGTAAACCTTGACATCGAATTCGTTCTAACTATATTTCCTATACTTTAAAAATCCTGTACCATATTTTGTGCAACTCACATATATTTTCGAAGAAAATAGTGAGTGTAAGTTGTAAGGTCAAGGTTTCGCGGCTTCCCCATTACAGACATCCTCTACATTACAGACATGAGCGACCAGGTTTAAAATAACGAATATACATATCCATATATATATATAACAGTTTCATTTGCCCTATAATTCAATGCTTCTTATAATAAAAATGTAAAATTAAAGAAAAAAGAAGTGTTAAAAATGAAAAATACTGAGCGAATAGCAACAAAGAAAACGAAAAATAAGGACGCCTGTCAAAAAATTAGAAAATTCGTGATTTTATACTATCTATATTTCATATTAGTAAAATGAAGCTGAAGAATATGCGTGAGTTCCACATTTTAGCCCCTTTGGAATGTGGACTGTATAGATTAAGTAGAAAAATTGAGATATTAAACCGTTGTTCTAAACAGTTATCTTGGACTTCAAATAGTAAAATGACCGTACTAGTGGAATCAAGAATACCGTTTCTTGGAGAACTGTAAAGCAAATCTTTTATAACAATTAAAGATAAAATAATAAATACTCAACAATATATCAAGCAAAAAATAAACAGTATCATTCTTTATTATCCGTCCTTCGTATTCTGCTTAATCTTTTGATTTAAAGCAAAACGTATTTATCCGTTTGCTAGGGCTAATGAGACTCAGGTTTTTTGAATGAGAATATTTTCTTTTAAGCTGTATTCCGCGAATCAACATCTTAGAAGAATTTATCATCATAGCACATTGTATTAAATATGAAAATTTATTGTGCGATCTTGATTAGTAAATGGATTAGATAAAATACCTATTGAGTTTCTTCACACCAAAAGTCGCATTCATTTTATCTCTTTTCTCTCATTCTTTTTAAAGTCCTGTCTTATTCTCCCTAGTACTTGCATTTGGTATCCGAGTGGAAAAATGAACTAGAGCACAAATCATAAATTGATATGACCCTTGCTACACGTGTCCATCTGTTATAAATTAATCATTTAGATTTTTTGAAAAAAGAGCTGTATAGGAGATGAATTCTTTTGCTCTCGACAATTTTTTTTTTCGAAATAACAGCAGCAGGAAATATTCGACGAAAAGTTCGAAACAGAATTAACTAATTCTTATGAGTTGCTAAGTTTTATTTTCATTCGTGTAAGAATTCGACATTCCTCATATATGAGATAAAACTTGATTCGAAATCACATAGGAGCTCGTCACACATTATCTGCGGGTCACTGGATGAAATGATTATTTCATCTCTTAGAATATAAAAAATCATTATTTGACAACTGTCCCATTAAGTGCTTTTCCCAGTTCTTATCTTACAGTATCATATTTCTGATTTTGGAGCTGCGTCAATGATGATGTTTTCTTTTTACACCTTTGTTTTTGTTCTACGGAACGTCCTATCTGAGTTTTCCACTCGTCCTACAAACGCTTATGCGACGTTGTCTCTTTTTCTTATCTATTCCGGCAACCGCGTCGAAAACTTCATGACTCAGATCTATTTGTCCAAATTAGATGTGAAGCAAGATAGCTTGATGAGAGAAGATAATTAAGCCTTTGAAGCATGTATCTATCCCTAAAAATAGTAGAGCCTATACATTAATAAATGAAAAACATCATCATGTTTGTGTTCTACATAACAATAATATTTTGTTGCTAGTGGTAGATAGAGTTCGACAATGTTACATAAATTAGAATAGTGAAAAAGTTTTCAGTTCAGTATTGTTCATGTTTTGACTGAGGCGTCAATTATATTTCGTGTTTCAAGACGTATGGATCATGCGATTGAAAATCGTTCGTAGAGAGGATTAAATTTGACTTTTTGTTCGCTAGTTCTTTCTCTACACTTTTGCAATGTAAATCTATCTTCAACTTAATTCATTCGCAAAAATTCGCCAATTTGATTTCCTCAGATTGACACACTGTATAAACCTCCAATCAACTGTATTAGGCATAGAGAAGTTTCTCCATCAGATTTAAAGTGACTCCCTCATGTTTCACATTTTAATCCTGTGTGAATTGTACTGCAAATTGTTTTTGAATGTGACTCTGATATTTAGTTGTTTTGTTTTGTGAGACGAAAGGTTTTCAGCAGTTCGTTATGCCTTCGTCCTTCATTAATAGCCTTTTATATCTGTATTTCGATTACACAAGGCTCTTGATTAGCCTCAACATTGGTTGTACCCCTATTTTTGAGTTCTTGTATACATACAATACAGAATCATTAGAAAGTCATCGTGATTAAGCAAGATAGAAATATTTTCCCGTTTTGTTGACAGAAACAAAGATAAAAGCTTTGAAATCAAGTAGAAGGATTAACATCTCAACGTTGCTATACTTCCAAAAAAAACGAATATTTTTATTTTTTAGATAAAAGTCATTGAAAAACTACTTGATTCTTTCTGAAGATTAGTCCGAGTCGTGATCAAGATTAGTTCATATTTTTGTTGCTACTAACTGCAGAAAGTGATCTAAATACAAAATATCTGACAAGCGATACTATATGAAATGAAAATAAAAATGCGATTCTTTTCTTTGTTTTTTTTCTATTAGAGAGAGTGTGTCAATATGATGAATAATCTTCAGTTTCGTGGCCTTCTGTTGAGACTGCAAGAACGTCTTAGTGATAACGATCGAAAACGTTTACATTTCTTCTTTGGTAACGATATTCCACGATCAATTCGTGATGATCCAACACTAAGTGGTACTCTAAGTCTATTGGAATCATTATTGGATCAAGAAAAAATTAACGAACAAGATTACACTTATCTGATCAAAGCATTTGATGAAATTCGATGTATCGATGCAGCAAATCTATTACGAAGTAATTTTCTTTTACGCTTCATGTGATTGATCAGTTCATCATTTTGTTTGGTTTAGAACATATGAAACAAATGCAATCAAATGGTCAAAATAAATTAAGTCAAAATCTTGCGTCGATCATGCCGACTATAGTAGATCAATATCTTCAAGGTCAAGAAGAAGAAGATAAATATAATGTGCAATGTCGTAAGCATTAATATATGTATATCATTCTATTTATTATTTTATCTCGTTATTTCATGTAGATCTTGTTAATCAAACAATCAACAGTACCGAGAACAATAAATTGATCGATAATCAAAATACAAATATCAATCCCGTTACAGTTATTGTCAACCCTCCAACTAGATCGTTTTCAATATCACGACGAAAAAAACGGCTAATTTCATCATCAACAATAAGGAAATGTTCTCTTTTGCTCATCATGCTCACAACTATTGCATTTGGTATTATGACCGGAGTTTATATTAATGCAATTCATTACAATGGTCAATTAACAAAGGAACTCGAGTTAAAGAATAAGAGAATTATCGAAGAGCAAGCAATCAATAATCAAACCATTGGACGATTAAATGAAGAATTGAAAGAGTTCAAGATAGACCAAGGTAAGATCAACCATAGGGTTATGTCAACAAAATGTAAGTCTCTCAATTTTTTGTGCGGTTATTTGAGGCACGGCATTGATCAGAGCCGGTTTCAAGTTTGGTGGTGTAGGAGGCAGTCATTTCGACGATTCATTAACTCCGAATTTTACCTGTTCTCATTATCTGAGCGGAATAATTTTTCAAAATGATCCTGTTCCTCTCAACTGGATTCAATTTCTCTATTCATCTCTGCTTGATCCGCAAAATGTTATTGAAGCTAAATTGCATGGTACTCGTTATAAAACTGATAGTGTCCAACAATTTCTTCTTGATAAAGATGAAAAGATCTCCAAGATTCAAATGAAAATTGATAATATTACACTTTACATAAACAAAATTCAACATTCTGTACCTATAATCCGAGGCCTACGCGTGTTTACAACAAAAGGTCGAGTGAGTCAATCGATCGATCGTGTAAATGGTCAATCAGCAACGGAATCTTTTGATGGATACGCCGTGGGCTATGTTACTGGAAAAGATGGATTATTAATTGATCAACTACAATTTTATTGGTATCGCATAACATCTGGATAGTTATGTGACGAATATCTATTTGATTATACAATTTTTGTTTTTTTTTCTGTAAAGTGAAATGTGCAAAAAAAACTGCCCTGGCTTGTATTGCTCATATTTAACAAATATCTCACATTGTAAATCGACAAAGATCGTGAGAAGTTATGGTTGAGACCTTTGCACAGACACAGACCGTTGAGAAAAGAATTTCCTTAAAAAGCTTAAGATCATATCCTGATATAAAAATATTGAATCTACAGTATATACGAGCGGTGTAAAAAAACATGTTTTTATCATAACCATACCTTAGGATAGAAGCAATGAAAAGATTTGAAACTTTCATGAAAATACTATTTTCGAAAATGTCTGTCTCTCTACAAAGTTGCAGCTGTTTTTGTTGTTTCTGTTGTAAGATATGCGTATTCATAATTCTATTTTGTGAAAAAGCAAATTCTCTATTTTTATTCGTAGCTCATGACACAAACAACAAGAAAAAATTAAGACTGCAAAAGTTCCAAGTCAAAACTCAAAAATCAACTTTCAACATGACTTGAGAGGGTCTACAAAGTTTTGTTGAAAAATTCAGTAGAAAAGTGGTTTTTCAAAAATCTTACAGATAAAAGAGACTAGATAACTACAGATAATCAGCATCAAGTATGAAGCATAATTTCACAATATGTCAAGCTGTTAGGTACAGTAATCGTAGGGATTGATCCTGTCTCTCTTTTTCTGTCCACTGTGCCACACCTACACCATATCTCATCCTTAATTTATTTAAGCCTTAACTAACGTCGTTTAGGTGAACTATAGAGTGATACATTTCCAGAAAAGACTACCATATTCTACATGGCAGAGGAGACTATATCAAAAAATTTAGAAATTTCTTCTGGTATGGAGAAATGGATGTTTGTTTAACAAGTACAAACCCGATCTTTTTTGTCGTGAAACAACAAAATAGAAAAAAGATCAACATTTCTATGTTGAACAACTAATACTTCACATGACACGTTTCTTCTAACCTGCGTTGTAATGGAAGGCCAAACTACACATGGATTGATCCATATGATTCAAATGAAACTAAAATTTAGATCATCATTGAAAGCTGTTACTATTTGTTAATGATAAACAGTCAGTAACATTTCAAAACTTTTAATCTTCTTTGATGTTGAAATAAAAAATACTTATATCAAACTTAGATTTTCTTGCTTTACTCTGCTCTCGATTTTTGACATTCGACTTAGTTCGTTAGTTTTCCAGTGGAATTGGTATACGGAGTAGATGTATTTGCATTTATTACGATTATCATATTATTATTTTTTTTAGCTTACCTAATTTAACAACATTTATAGTAGAACCTAGTAATATAGATAGTATTGATGAAATTATCGAGCCTCCATCTTCTAGCGAATTTTTCAAACTACACATCCTCTATCAAACTCTTTTGTGAACGAGAATTTGCATCTCATTTTTTATATAGTAGTTAGAAACTTTAATACTGTCAAGAAAGTCTGTTAGATCTTCTGTTACATTGACGAATCAAATAAATCAACATGGTGAAATTTACTTATGAACAAAATATCTGCAGTAAAAGATGTACTTTTTGAACTAAATGAAACGTATGAATCATTTATTTAATAAAATAGAGAACTTATACAACAAAAAGAAAAATGAAAATTCAGAATGCTCTTTTTCGTTGTTAGAGTATGTACGTGAAAAAAAAATGTCCTTGCATTGACGAAGAAAAGAAAACGAATCGATAAATTAACTCACGACGACATTAAAGAAGAACAGCTAAAAAAGAAAGAAAAAAAAGAACATCAAGTAGCTATTTATGTACAACGATTGATGAGTAATACTCATTTATAATGTCACATTAACTATTTAGAAAATGATTGAATTACATCAGTAAAGAATTGATAACAATGAAAATTAAATAATATTTAATCGGAATTCAAACTTGTCATATTTTCAAGAATGCAATAATATTAAATGTCAATTGTTTCATTACTAATATTTCCTTGTTCTGCTTGTGCAATAGAATTATAATAAAGTGCCATTTCATTTTGTTCTGTTTTTGATATAAGAAATTTCAATGAACTCAATAATGATTCTTTAGCATGTAAAACATTTTCTAAATAAATTACTGTATATTGTTTTTGTTGCTGTTCTTCATCAATTATTGTAACATCATAAATATTTTCAATAATAAACAATGTTCGAGGTAATATTAAAACTTCAGATTCATTTTCATATTCTGATATACATGGTAAATGAGATTTATTAATAGATCCTAAATAAATTGCTTGATCACATGGTTTAGGAAAATGATAATGCATTAAAACACTTATTCTATCAGTCGATAATAATGATATTTCATGAAAACTTTCTGCTATTTTACGATCAGTTGATGTTGATGAAAATGTATTTGTTCGTATATAACTTCCTTTATTATTAAATGCCCAATGATATGATCTTAAATCATCATTTGTCATTAATATACCACGATAACATTGACCTTGAAAATATCGATGTTTTAAATCTGAAAGATTTAAAAATAATGGCCATTTTAATGGTGCTATATTATTACGCAATGCATGATAAAATGGTGTTTCAAGTGAATAAAGTCTCAATAATGATTCAACATCTCCATCACGAGAATATTTTAATAATAGATTACAACATCTATCATATTGATCATGTTCTTTTGAAACTACATTATCAATAATTTTACGAATTTCATTGACACGATATAATCGATTAGTTAAATAACCCATTAAGTTTTCATAATCATTAAGTTTTTGATCACCCTGATATTTTGCACCCTTACCAGCTATATATCGTCCAAATTTTGATCGAAGTAAACGTTTACCTTTACTAAGATAATGAATTTCTTTATATATTTCATCATCAGTTTGATAAAGTTTAACCCATTTTGAAGGTATTGGTTCATGATCATTATCATTGTCTTTTGTTACTTGTTCTAATGGAGAAGAAACAATAGAAAATGTTTGTTGATTACTATTATTATTATTATTATTATTATTTTGTGTATTATTATCACAAAATCGATTAATATTTAATGGTCGATGAAATAATTGTCGAATTTCATCGTTTTTTGCTACTTCATAAGCTGTTAAACCATAACGATTTCGTTGTGAACGATCACAATTACGTTCATGTAATAAAAGACGAACAATTTCTTTATGACCATAGAATGAAGCTGCATGAAGTGGAGTATTATCATATAGTTCTAATCGATTTAAATCTTTATAGGAAATAGTACGTAACATTAATCGAACAGTTTCTAAATCACCATTACGACATGCACAGTAAAATGGACTTGGTTCAACTTGATGAAAATGATGATGTATTCGTTCATTATGTTTTAATTCTTTATCAACACTATTACCCATGATAAACTTATTTTTATTCAACTATGGTGTGATTTTACAATTGTATTGACAATACATACAAAAAGGAAGAAAAAATTGCAAGAAAGAGTATAAATATCGTTAATATAAAACATGACATATAATATTACGCATCAGAGAGTATGAATCATTAAGAATGAAGAAGTGAGTATGGTTGTTCAAACGTCATTCAACGTGGTTTACTCTTCTTTATTTATAATCTAAGAACGACATTTTTTTTGTTAAAGTTATGAATTTTTTATTATCGTATAACACGGTTATATAAAAACACTCATTTTTTTTTCCAATGCCGCTAATAAAATTCGAATCTTTTTGCGAAAGTATTTCTTCGAATGAAATACTTCTAGAAACAGTTCTGTAGAGCATTGAATGAGCTTTTAAGTGGTAAAAAATAAGTTTCTCTAAACCTTTTTTGCTGAGATGAAAAATTCTCAGGCATTTGACGCGTTCAGAAATGTATGATTTTCATAAATATTGATCTTTTCTGTATATCGAATCATTCTACGCAAGAATCAAGTCACTACATCAAGATGGAAGCTTAGTAACTGTATAAGCTGTTCGTAGCGACAAAAGCTAAAACCAAATAAGCCATTCTTTAGAGACTTCAATTCGGTAACGAATGGTATGTTACTCAATACTTTTTTGCCAAAAATGATTGGTTAAGAAATTCAAAATTCAATTCTTGAAAAGTTTAAAACCTGGTTTTCGATGCCAAAATTCAACTAAAGAACAATGTCAACTTCGTAATTAGTGTGAAAAACTGCATTCAATAATACATTCAGATATGTTTAACTCGAAAAAAAAAATTTTCCTAAAACTTGATTAGTGAATTGTCGAGTTATCTCGACGCGTCGTAATACAAATAATCATCACTACAATGCATTTCGAACTGACTACAAATCTCATTAGATGGATTTTACTGAATCTGCATCCAATTCTATTTAAAGATTTTAAAATTTCAACAGAATACTTTCAATACTCGTCATAAACTGAGTTACACAAATTCGAGTGTGTCTATGTTAAATTTTGAGTAGCGTATATCAAGCCAATAACAACGCTTGTTGACATTGATGAATCTTGTTTTCAAAGGAAATCAGTTGTTATGCATCTGCATGTTTTATCTTGTAGTGGTATGAGAAATAGAGGAAAATGATATGCAGTATGTGGTATTTATTTTTACATTACTTCTATAAATCATTACAATAAAGAGTTCAAAATTTACAGAAATTATGAAGACATGAAATAAACTTGAGTTCATTAAATTGGATAAAAAGCATGTTCAAATGTTGTTTTGTTTGTCGACTAAGTTGGAAATGTAGTGCTATGCAGTCTTGTTGTAGATTTTTTACCTATTCACGAACTACATATGTCAGTACTTGTATGCATTCTTTCTTTTCTAATTACGTCATAACTATTTTTACATGTCTTGAATACTAAACGCAAATGAATGACTCACTACCACATGATTCAGCCTCCTAACAACATCTATTTTGACCATTATTATACTTAGTAATTATGAAGTGGATAAAGGCCATTTCGTATGAAGGCCACTTTACTGCATGTAGACCATCTTCGTGCCACTATGAATATATATAAAAAAAACATTGTTCTATACGTTGCAACTTCGTTGCTGGCTACGTTGAAATAGCTATTGAATTGATATTTATTGTTTGGAATGCCACTTGTTTTTATTGATAAAGAGTAACTGTCTCTGTAGACGTCATACGATGGTACAATCATGGTCTCCTCCACACATGAATAATCAGACATATGTGATGAAATCGACATGGATGCTATAAAACAAGTAGCAAAATCCAATATTTGCATAACATCACAAAATTTCATTAAATTTGAAAACTATTCAATGACTTCAATAATCTGATGGACAACTAAATATCCTTAATTCGTTTCAAAATACTCCGTCGCAACTATTCCTTCATTCATATCTGTCATGGCTTACATGTTGTTCTTTACGAAAAAATAAATATTGTCATGTTATGCAAAATGTTTTCAGTAAAAAAATCCTATGTGTTAGGTTCGAAACCGACTTGATATTCTAAATTTGACTGTTGCACATATGTCTTGACAAAACAGCCTAGTTTTCAATGTTACAATAGATAAAAACAAAATATTATCAAGAAGATTTATCAAATAAAATGTGATCATAATATGAAACTTCAAATGATTAAGAGTCATCTTTGGACGTTGATGAAATGATTGCTTCTGTCGATTGCGTCGTATTATTAATGTCAGGATTCTACAAAATAGAATAAGCAAATCAAATAAAATCAGTCAATATTTTTAAAAACAAGTCTCATTGGATTCACACAAGAAGAAACGTGTTCCAGTCTGAGTTCTAATGAATTTTATTCACGTTGCAATCTCACAAGTGAATGGACGAACGATTACTTTTCCCTCTTGGTTTGTCTCTTTCTTGAGGTTTTGTGCTTGTTGTTGTTCAGCACTTTCAGCCGGTGGTGCTGATTTACGGGCTGCCATTGTAGCCAATATTTTTCGTGGAGCTTTGCCACCAGTCGACATACGAGGTATTTGTTTTTTACGAGGCATCAATTATGTTAAAATCTAAAAGAGAATATAAACAATGCACCATATTTTCTACAGTCATTTGTTTAATAATGTTAGTTGACAATAATGTTGTAAAGAATATTTTGATAGTTTATTTCGTTTATTAGTAACCTGTATTGATTTGAATCTTAGCATATCGAATACCCCTATTTTTTGTTTCTTTATTTTGTATCATGGACATTGAGAGCAACATATTGATATTTTACATGTGCGTCTTTATTTTCTCTCTTTTCTTCTGCTGTTGTTATTAGTGAGATTGATGAAGACAGATACTGTCAGAATATAGAAGAGAATATAAAAAAAATACATTATTCATTCTGCTTTGCTCTTTTTCTCTTTGTTTTTTGGTTCGATATATTTTTCGGTTGCCTATTTCGGTGTATAGAATAAAAAAAAAACAAAAGGTTCTTTATTCAATAAAATCTTTGTTTGGTTTCTCAAAAATATAGTACTGCTTACAATTATAAGACCAAGATAAGATGCGATGCAAAAGTAAGGGTGCAAAATGTTGATTCTCGATATAAATGTTTCGAAAAGAATTTTTTTTTTCTTAATCAGTTAATAGGAAATTTTCTTCTCGTTCGACTGGTTTATGACTAATATTTATCATACATTCGTAAATGAAATAACACGACAATAAAAAAGAGAACCACTCAAGCAATAAATTTGTAACTCGTCCAAAGCATCTTGTTAGACAATAATTAATTCAATTTTTGCGAACTCATGAAACAGATCTTGTAAACCGATGGTTAATTGAGCTTCTGTGAAATCCTTCAAAACATTCTGCAAAACGACATTTATTTAAAATTAGCTGTCATCTGTAAAATGCTTTTGATAAATCCATATAAAAATTGCAAATTTCTTACGCCAAAGTTTCTTTGTTTTCTCGTCTCATTTCACTTATCAATGTGTGACCAATATGAACCATACATGCTTTAAAAGAGAAAAAAGTTTCCTGCTAACTTATGAAAAAAATTTTTTTTTTCAGAATCTATTTGTATCGAAGAGATATAAGAATCAACATTGTATGCGATCCTTTCATAGACAAAGTGCGTTTTTTTTCTAAGGGTGCTTCTCTTTTCTATTACGTCATTTCGTTTATACGTGTATTATAAAAATAAGTTATAGACGATTCGATAGAGAAGAAAAAGTTCTATCTTTTGGTAAAAAAGTTTTCTTTCACCACCCTTTTATCAAAGAGAAATAAAGATCGATATTTTGTGCCATTACTTCTGCATCGTATATTATTTTTGAATTTTACTGTAATTGTTGAGTATCAACTAAAATACAAATATTGATTTGAATGATCATTAGAGCTCTCTATCCAATGGATTGGAGAGCATCAATGATTATTTAGACCACTACCTAGGTTAGACAGAACAGTCGTCAATGGCTGAAAAATAGATGTAGGTGGATTTTAAATATACAAGTCATATTTTAATAGTCACACCCACATCGGACACTTATCACATATTCTTCGTTCAAAATTTCGGTCAGTGTGATACAAACAAAGAACCGATAGCATGTTTTTGTTTGTTCCCTTATCGATATAAACTATCATTTGACTACCAGTACTCTCATTGATAGGAAAATAGAACACGCTTTGGATCTCAATTTTCATCATGAATATTCGTTCGGCTACTACATCTGATGTTGAAGCAATCGTCCGTGTTCATTACGAAGCTGTTCATGGAACCAAACCTGCAAACTTCTATACACAGGACATTATACAAAACTGGTCGCCATCACCG